AGTTGGGTGTATCTAGTTGCAGTACAACGTCGGTTGCCGTCGACGGCAACGGCAACTAACATCGCCGCTTCCTCAACGACTCGGTCATGGAGGCGGACCTTTGGACAGCGAGCGTGGCCGCCGCTCGCAGCCATCAAGAAGGCCGCGATCCGCGTCGTACGCCCTTGGCAAATGCATCGATGCGATACGGGAGATGCATCAATCAAGCGTGCAGCACTGGCATCCTGAGAGTCGATTTTTCCACATCCACGTCTCTATTCGCCACCGCGCTCGGCAGAGCCCCAGGCAAAGACGTGCATGTGGGATATGTCCATCGCAATGCGACGACACATGTGTGCGACGTGGTTTTTGAGCCTCGGACCTCCTCGCTGGCTGCGGCCATCGCTATCGAGACTGACGCAGTGGATGATGCGTGTATGGGCTGCGCCTGCGCCTATGGTGAAGGCCATCGCACTCGTACCGCGGGTGCTTGCGCCGGGGCTCCTGCCCTCGTCGGCTCGTCGGCTCGTGGCGGCGATCCCTGCGCTCGGCCATGACGTGGGGCCGTTTGGTTTGCTGTTTATTTCGTACGTGCACGACAATAAAAATGCATGTGTTTGTATACAAACGCTCTGTTCAAATAAAAATAAATCTATTTTTAATAACTCTTGCCCACGTATTACGGCGCCCTTGTATTGTCGGAATCCATCGTGGCCCGACGCGCAGCGACCATAAGCAGCCAGAGCCCGGACCTTCGGCAGCGCGGGATCGCTTCGCCCTCCGTGAACGACGAGACCGCGGTAGAGATCGACATCCATCCGACCGAGAACCAGCAGCTCCTGCGCAACCGCATGAACATGACTTCGCTCCTGCCAAAGTCATCGGACAGCATTGCGTACTCGTCGCTGGGCATGGACGAGATGACACCGACGGCGCCGCTGCCCAAGACGCCGTCGCAGCGCAACGTGTTGCCGCCGGCGCACGGCGTCTCGCTCGCGGACCTCCTCACGCACGTGACGCGGCCCATGGAGCGGGTCGCGTTCGAAGTCAAGGGCGCGCTCCTCGCGACCGGGTTCGCCGCGACGTGCTATTTATTGAACTGGTTCAAAGTCGTGCTCATCCCGTTCTTCCTCGCGATCTTCCTCATGTACCTCGTGGACCCGCTCGTCGAAATGATTGACGTGTCGCCCAAGTACTTTTGCTGCGTGTGCACCTCGCGCGGTAATCGACAACGACAAGGTGGGTTGGACTCATGCTCGGTGGATTAGGTCGCCACGCCCGGCGACGCTCGCGCGGCTGCTCGCGCGCCTTCTCATCGCTCTGCGCGGTCTCGGTCGTCTGTCTCTTCTTCTTCCTTCTTGGCTATATTGCCGTGCTCTCGATCCACGCGCTGGAAGTCACCAAGTACCAGGAAGGCTACACGGCCTTTGTCCAGCACGTTGAAGTGCTCTCGCAGCAAGTCGGTGTGCCCATGAACATCACCACCACCTTGCACGACAACGTCGACAAGCTCGCGCGGCTCGTGCTCACCGAAGTCATGGACCTCCTCTCGACGCTCTTTGTGACCATGATCTACCTCACGTACTTTCTCTGCACGCGCACGCGCGCCTCGGACGCCGGTACGCCACTTCAATGGAGACGACAAGGTGTCTGAGTTGATTGATTAGGCGGCGTGTGGTCCAAGATCGACAATGATATTCAGCGTTTTGTGACGCTCAAGTGCTACCTCTCGCTCTTTGTCGCGCTGCTCGTGACGATCGTGTACGTCTCGCTCAACGTCGGCCTGGCCATTTTCTGGGGCATCCTCACGTTCATTCTCAATTGGATCCCGAACGTCGGCGCGATGATTGCCTCGTTCCTGCCGCTGTGCATCATCATGATCTCGCCGGAAGGGCCGAACGGGCTCATGTCGCCCATGGACAAGTTCCTCGCGATGGTCCTCCCCATGTGTTTTCACATGTTTGTCGGTAACTTTATCGAACCCAAAGTCTTTGGCCGGAAGCTCGAGATGGACCCGGTCGTCGTCATCATCTCCCTCTCGGCGTGGGGACTCCTCTGGGGCGTCGTCGGTACTTGATACATTGATACTAGTATGATGGCGTGAAGATCGATCTAGGCATGATGCTCTCGGTGCCGCTGACGGCGGCGTTCAAGATCATGTGCTCGCACCTCAAGCTCTGGCCCGAGCTCGTCGCGCTCATGGACGGGACGTACTTTGTGCGAAGCGCCGAGCAAAAAAAGAAGGAAGAAAAAACGTACAAGGCCCGGGAATTTACCGGCGACGACGACGGCGAAGTCATGTAGATTGTTCGAACCTGTTTAACACATTGCATTGCCGACAAGTCCGACGACGCGACGACAGCCTGTGCACTCTGCATCGTCGTCTGGAATAAGATCGGGGGCGGAGGATGCGCTGCAAGGCGCGCACATGACACGCTGCTGCACAAGTTGTCGGTGCTACAAACACGAGGGTCAATACAGCGAACCCTTGGCTATGGTGTGTGGTTTTCTACATATGCAATTCGTTCGACCCCTGGCCGAGAACGCAGGATAGAGGCTGCTAGATATATGGATGGATAAATGGATGCGAGTAGATAGATAGATAGATAGATAGATGGATGGATAAATGGATACGAGTAGATAGATAGATAGATAGATAGATAGATAGATAGATAGGACGTGTATTGCCGTGAATTATCCACTCGGTCGAATGGATTGTGCAGACTTGAACGGACGAAGATGTGGTTGCAACCGACCTTCAATAGCGTTCGAGGTCATGGCCGTCGTCGTCGTCGTCGTCGCGGTCAAACGACAGAAGGAGCAAGTCGGACGTGTCGTCGTCTGGAAAGGAGGTGCGTGGCTGTCGCCATGACGCCGACGCCAGGCGACCGTACAGCTGGTGCGGCCGGCGAATGTAGCGCACGAGGACGGCTAGTAGAAAGCTCGTCATGGAAAAGCACACGAACGCGACGGTCATAATCTCGGTGGTCGCAAGCGACGGCACGTTCGAAAGTCGTGCGGTGGTAGCGTCGAGAGGCCGTTGGTCGTCGGCATTTCTCCACCGTACGCGAGCGGCATCTCATTGGCCTTGTACGGCGGGTACGCATAGAACGACTGCTCGATCATCTGGCGTTGCACGAGACGTTGCACCTATTTATGATCGCAAAGGTTAGTTTAACGCGGCTTTGCTCGTACGTGCGATGTGTCGGAGAACGGCACCCAGTATAGCTGCCGGCATGCGCTGGCGTCGTGCAGCTGAGACGATGCGTTGAGGCCCAAGAAGGTTGCCAAGTATGCCTGCGCAGTCCGTGCGAAGGGCTCGGTTCGCTCGGGCTGGGGCACTGCAGCCAGTGGTTGGTCCTCGTCCAGCGCGTCGTCGTGGACGTTCTCCAAGATCTTACTCGGCGCCGAGTAAAAGTCGTACCCGCGAGCCCAGAGCGCTGCGCTGCGCGTGAGAACGTCACCCGACGACGCGGCGTGGCGCGCATGGCACTTGCAAACGCTACGTCACTCGGTCTAGGATATAGAGACAAAGGCGAGGTAGGTATGATACCGTTTGCTGGGGCTAAAAAGGGCGCGAGGAGAGGTCGGTGGTGGTCGTGCACAAGCGATGGAAGCTCGGACGTGTGCCATGGCTGCAACGGCGCCGGTCGTTCGAGCACACACACGTGCGGGAAGCTCCCTGGGTGCCAAAAGATCGCTGGCGCAGCGACGGAGGTCACAATGGCCAACTCGTTCTCGGTGCGAAGCCAGTCTTGCAGCGCGGTGTTGTCCCATGACGTGGCGAACCGAGCGCTCGGTGGCGCCGTCGCACAGAAATCTGGCACACGTGAGACGACCCTTTTGCTAGTTGGAGACGCCTACCATGGGTTTCTCGATGTGTTGACGTCGGTGTGTCCACTGCAACGAGTTGCGCCTCGTAGGGACAGTGCGCGGTGTGCACCGATGCAGCCAATCCTTCGCGCGCAGCCAGCGCGCAGTACGCATGGCGACATCGCTGGCTCCGCGACGGATCCTGATTATGGACAAGATGGACACGCACGCGGTCCGGATTCGAAGCTTCTTGAAACGCAGAGAGCACGGTGCGGCCGCAGCGCTCGGCGTCGTCATTGGTGGCAAACGTGAGCTCGATGGTAGGGGCGCGGTTGCGCGGGAGCAGCGGCCGTGGCGGTGGGAGTGCACTGCGAACGTTCTGCAGCTCCGGACGCAGCGCAATGTCGACTTGGGCGTGGTCGTCCCAGAGCCCAGCGCCGTAGACGAGGCGGCGGCTCGAGAGCGCGAGCAGGACCAGCGCAGAGCTCCATACTAGCGTCATGGCTCGGCCTTTCCAAAATGGTTGAAACTTCGATCTTTACCGGTTACTGTATCCGGATCGCACATTTGGCGTTCGGCGTGCACTGTTTAAACCCACTCGATCCATGTGGGTTAAACCCGTCCAGTAACCTTGGCTGCAGACTCATGGACGCGTCGTCATGGAATGCTCGACGCGGCTTGTGGCCTCTCTGGCACCCTCGCGCTGCTAGCAAACACTACCCTTATTGCTGGATATTCATCGACTCTCTGTACGGGTGTCGTACCCAAACATGTAGCTAGACACGTCACGCTGTTGTAATGGACACTTGCGTGTCGACCTTGAGGCGTTGATATCGCGGTGCTACAAGCCTCGTCTTATGTACGCTTGCGCGTCGCGCAATAGTATGTAGCACACGCTCGTGGACCCTGGCAGCGATCAGCACAGAAGTGCATGGATGACTTTAACCGAACGCGCAAACGCGTTTAAACCCATTCACGGTAAACCCAGAAGAATGGCGCTGGCATGGCAGCGGACGACGACCCGCGGCTTTGCACGGCGGGCATCCACTTTGACACGTACCGCTTCGCGCAGAACCTGCGCGCGAAAGGTCGCATCTATCGATCTATCAATGTATCAAGCTTAGCGCCAAGGTAGGCTTCACGCCCAAGGAGGCCGACGTGATCTTGGCCGCAACGCGCAATGCCATCCAAGAAATGAACACGTCCCGTGCGTCCTTGGTGCGCTCCTTCCTGTTGACATATACATGCGTGCTTATATATGCCTCTAGTACATTCCCAAGGCGGACCACCTCGAGCTCAAGACCGACTTGTCCCAACGCGTGCTGCGCTCGACCATGGAACTTCGGTGCGGCGTCGTCGAGGCGCGATACGACGGATGGACTTACTGTGTGTAGATGTGGCCCACCGCCACATGCGCGAAGTGCTCGAGCGCGACTTTAGCAACCTCAAGAACGACATTCGCATGACGGAGAAACTCGACTTTGACAAGGTGCGGTTCGAGCTCCTCAAGGTGGAGAAGGAGGTATGTAGGAGGAGATTGGATGGCGCAAAAGGTTGATGGCGAAAGGTAGTTTTTGCTTCAGAAAAAGACGGACGAAGAGACGCTCAACACGCTGCACATTGCCAACGAGCGGCTCGAGAAGCGCATTCTGCAGTTCGTTGTCGGTTTCTCGGGCTCGATGATGCTTGTGCTGGCGCGCCTCGGCGCCTTCTTTTAATGCATGTACTACGCCAACATCCTGAACCAGCGACTTGTTGAAATGGGATATTACCTTGCATGTACAATGATGGGGAGAGACTTTCATGTGCGCGCGAGGCAGACCGGTCTGTACGAGCGAGGAGCGTGGGTAGTCTTGTTGTGTGGCATCGTGCAAAGAATAAGGTATCGGTACACCAAGGGACCTTGTGTAGGCTGGCGTGCTGGCGGATGAACACACATATTAGCCTCGCCACTCGGCTTGACGAGACGTCGAGGACCACTCTGTTGGTCCCGTAGCTCGACGCAGTGTAGTTCAGTCTACGACATCCATTCGCATCGCAGCTTGAAGAACCGAGTGCACGCGACGCGGTCGCATGGAACGCACGGTTGGGGCCAGAGAGGGCCTTGGGCACGCGACGCACGCCATCGCGCCACGTCTCTGGCGCCTGCTTGGCTCTGTCGTCGATTGACGGATTGTGGATATAGATATCATATATTGAAAGGCACTTGAGCGCTCCGTCTACCAACTATCGCCACGAGGCCACGATCGTCGAGGCATTCGAGTCGCAGCTGCAGAGCGGCGCGGGCTCGTGGGTGTGACCGTCGTCATCATCGTCGGAGGTGTCGAGGTCGATGTGGGACTTGGACGAGGCTTTGAGCGACACCATAAAGCTGCCGCTGTGCGCGTGGTTCTCGATCGTACTGGAGCAAGGCGTCACGGCCGAGCTCACGTCGAGCTCGTCGGGCAGTCCGAGGAGCGATGCGCGCGAGTAGTTGCCAAGGTTGAGCGACGCCAGGGAGAAGGCCAGGCACGTGAAGCTCATGATGGTCGATTATTCAAAAGTGCCCCAAATGGTAGAAACACTACAAAACACGCTACAGGCACAAAGTACGAGGTAAAACAGTGATGGAAAAATTCACCAAGAATTCTCGCCCGCAGATTAGACTTGGCTTCAGTATGGGCGGGCACTTGGTGAATTTCGAGTGCGCCCCGCCTTTCTCGTTGCCGCCCACTGTGATTGGCCAATATTCTGTTTCCAGGTGGTTTCACCACGAGACAGGGCAAGGTCCGAATTTCAAGCCCTCAAAAAAGGGCGTCAACCCCACATTGAAGTTGCACTTGCGACGCGGATCCTATTTGAGACGCGAGAAGCCAGACGCAGAACGCTCTAGAAGACGCAACTTCTTGGTGCTATGCCATCGTGTCCATGGATTGATTCCATGTCCACGATGAGCAACTGCATACGACGAGAATCGCGGGCGATAAACTGAAGAGACTGCTTGCATGGTGTTGCGTGACCAGCTTTTTGGACGACCCTTGACTGCACACGCCGAGAAGCTCTTAGAGTCTGTCTCACCATGGAACGCCATACCGGTACGCCCGTCGCCATTCTTGCCACGACGTCGACGCCCTTGGATCCCTCCCTCTTCCTCGCACGATGCCGCGACAAGGCCATTACCGAACTGCACGCAACAACTTTGCCTCGCGATCCCATTCACAAGTTCTTATCGTATCGTTGCGTGTATTGACTCGTTTCAACATCATTAAATACTGCGCTATCTCCCATCTACTACCAGTATCCCTCGGCGGCAGGGCTCCAGGTCATATGCGTCCGGTTCATGATGATGCACGGCGTCCGGTTTGTCAAGAGGATGCAATACCCTATACACTTGTACGACATCCTCTTCTGTGCGTGGATGACCTCCACATCGTCGTGCGCAAGACAATATGTCCACCTTTTGATGCCTCTCATTGGTGCATCGAAGAGCACAACGAAAAAATGGCGCGAAGCGAGCGCTGCACCCGGCGCGCGGGTGATGGCCATGTGTGATATCGATTCTCACATGCGTTTTCCACGTGTGAAAAACGCGCTCGCATTTCGAAATCGACATTTGCCGCGATGCTGCGTGGACGGTTGCGGCAACTGGCTCGGGCAGCGCCAGCCGACGCGCTACTGGACATGGAGGCCATGGACACGACCGAAGACGAAGCGCTTGATGCGATCGCCGTGCGTCAACGAGGCGAACGCATGACGCTGGATGAATGCACATGTACTAGGGCGACGTGATGGACGACACCTTGGCAGCGATTCACATGCTGCTTGGCCGGTACCACCGGGCGTACGCGACCTTTCCGCTGCCGTCGCTCGTTCTCGCCCACCACATGTAGCTGCCGCCCACTCGCTGGTGGCCTCACGCCGCGCATCGTAGCTACAGTGTTGTGCCCAACCGAACGGTTGTCGACCAACGGGTAGGTGTTGTGGCCCCTTGGCTCGATCTATCCGGTTGCATAGGTCCATGAGCTGCGCATGGACGGCACGCTACTCTTGCTGCAAGTCAATCTACCAGGTGCAGCCCTCAAGTCATGACGACGATCGGACTTGCATTGTGAAGGTCCCAACGTGCACGCGCTTGTCTTGACGCACGACTACACTGCTTTCCTCCTCGACCAGTCGAGAGGCAGCCGCGGCGCCCGCATGTTTGCCAAGATCCTACCGCGTCTCTCCATGGTCTGCTTGACCCAGTACCTCGATTTCTTCTCATGCCTTGTTATAGCACTCGACGCTCGCCAAGAGTACGCTTTACACGGAGATGCGTGCGCAGTTTACGCGACGAGGGCGACCGCCGCCACCAGACGCGGCGCTCAACAAGGACATTGCGTACGCTTCAAGGCAGAACTGCTCGCCTCACCTGGCACTAGGCACCTCGTGCACCTCGGCTTTCTTGTGGCCACGGTCGAGATGGCCGTCGATCGTTACTACTTCTCGCTCCCGCGCCTCGGAGCGCTCATCTCGGCGCTGCATGTCGGCAGGCGCACGATCCGCGTGCTTCTACAGGTATGATTTCATCGTAGACGCCAAGGATTCTGACATGCGGGCAGCGGGCGCCGTACCGAGAAATGACCGAACACGACGTCCTCAAGCGCAAGGTCAAGTCGTCGCCCTTTGGCATGAGCTACCACGTTCTCGAGATGGCGCACGCGGGCCTCGTCGCCCGCGTTCCGACAGCGACGTCGTTCTTGCTCAAGTACACGGACCCGGCGGACGGACAAGCATGAGTGCGCTATGTCGACTCGTCAAGCCCTTGCTGGAAAACACTCTAGTGCTCGCTCCTTTACTTGATTTTGGCCGTTCCCAGTGGACTTACTTTAGCACAGTATATAGTATTCGATTGGAACTCGTTTACAGCGCGCTGTCCTTGGGCTTGAGCGTCGGCGGCTTGCGCGCCGTGCCAAGCGGCAACGTCACAATGTCCTTGATCTTGCCCCACTCGGGCATCGTCACGAGCTCCTCCGACGCTGTCGGGTGGATCGCCACGATATTGTCAAAGTCCGACTTGTACGCACCCATCTTGACCGCAACGCCAAAGCCCTGGATCATCTCGTCGGCGCCGAGGCCCGCGACGTGAACGCCGACGACCGTCTCTTCTTCGCCGATGCAAATGAGCTTCATGGCGGTCTTTTGTTTGTCGTCTTGCTCGCTCATGGCGTAAAACATGTTGAAGAACGAACTCGTGTACACCTTGACGTTGTTGGCACCGTACTGCGCAATGGCCTGCGGCTCGGTCAAGCCAATCGTGCCAATCGGCGGGTGGCTAAACACGACCGTGGGGATTTGGTGGTAGTTGATGCACGCGTTCGGCTCGTTGCCAAAGAGACGGTCGGCGAGGCGACGACCCGCCGCAATCGCCACCGGCGTCAGCTCCCACCCCGTCGTCGTGACATCGCCCACCGCATACACGTTCGGGACACTTGTGTTTTCTTGGGCGTCGACTTGGATAAACTTGTCGGCGGAAAGGGCAATGTCAGTGGTCTCTAAACCCAAGTCGTGCGTGCGGGGCGTGCGACCAATCGCAAAGAGGACGGTCTCAAAGCCTGGAAACGACTGCGGCACGCCGCCACCGTCGCCTGAATCGTCAGCGTACCCGTCAACCGCCTTCTCGATCGACGTGATGCCGCTCTCGCGCACAAAGTGAACGCCGGCGCTATCACGTCATCATCATGAATCTTCTGCAATAGACGAGCTAGAGAAACGTACTGCTCCATCTCGGTGTTGACGAGGTCGCGCACGATCGGGTCAAACGTGCGCAGCACCTGGTTGCCGCGGCAAAAGAGCGTCGTGTCCGACTTGAGCGCGTTAAAGATACCGGCGAGCTCGACCGCAATGTAGCCGGCGCCAACGACTGCGACCTTGCGGGGCTGCGTCTCGAGTGCGAAGAAGCCGTCGCTCGAAATCGCGTGCTCGATGCCCGGCAGCGGAGGCATGGCCGGGACACCACCGACCGCGATGAGGATGTGCTTGGCCGTGTACCGGTCGCCGTTGACCTCGACCGTGTGGTTGTCGACAAACTTGGCGGCGCCGTAGACGAGCGGGATCTGGTTGTTGCCAAGGTTGCGCTCGTAGATGCCGTTGAGGCGGGCGACGTACGCGTCACGCTTCTTCTTGAGCGCCGCCCAGTCGAACGAGCCGTACTCGACGTCCTGGATGTTTTTGAACGTGTACGCGTGTGCCGAGTGGAGCATCTCGGCGTGGAGCGCTGCGTTGAACATGATCTTCTTGGGCACGCAGCCGACGTTGACACAGGTGCCGCCCATACCGGCGCCGTCGTTGGCGTGGCCGCGCTCGATGAGAAGGACCTTGGCGCCGTAGGCGGCGGCGCGGCGCGCGGACGAGTTGCCGCCCGAGCCGCCGCCAATGACAATGTAATCGTAGACGGTGGTCGCCATGGTGCAAATTGCAATTTGGGGTTGTCCGAGGGCGTGCCACCATTTAACCAATCAAAATGCGCCGTTGGATTTTCGATCCACCAATCACAACGACGATCGCGATCTTTCTGCACCCGAAATCGCGAACCGACGGGTGCAGACCGCGTCATCCAACGACGTCCGTCATCACAACTACCAACACACTCGTCCTTCTTACGAATCTTCAAGTGAATGGCGATGACCTCGGCACGTCCAACTGGTTGGTGCTATAGTCGGTGGTTCGAGGCCCGCGATTGAAAGGGCTTTCAAGTCCACTTGCACGAAGCAGCAACGCGATCACTCAAAGCGTCACGAAGCCTACTTGAGAACACAAGGCTTAGCAGGTCGCTCGCGTACTGTAGTAGGTTGATCGACCATGTGCGTAGACAGGGTATTGGGATCCTGTCGTGTCCACGCGACAGACCGATGTTGCGCCTGGGCGTGAGCTTTTCCAACGGGTCGAGCAGAGCGCGCCAATCCTTCGTCGAGCTAACTAGAGTCGCTGCACGCTAGAAAGCCGAGAACGATGTCGATGCAATCAAGGGCGTTCGATTGATCGGATCTCAACTCGAGCTTGTGCATCAACGAGACCCAACAACGGCAAGATCCCAATCATCCGGATACGTGTTTCCGGATCGATGTGGGGCAATTTTGACGTCGTTGGTACAGTCGCAAATTACGCTCGCAGCATGGCAACGTACGACTACATTGTGCTCGGCGCAGGCTCTGGCGGCGTCTCGTCGGCCCACCGCGCGGTGGCCTACGGCGCCAAGGTCCTTGTCATTGAGCGCGGCCACGCCAACGACGGCGCTGGCCTCGGTGGCACCTGTGTCAACGTCGGCTGCGTGCCCAAGAAGATCATGTTCAACGCAGCGCTCCACGCCGAGATGCTCCACTCGGCGCGTGCGTACGCCTTCAAAGGCGTGCAGGACATCCAGTTTGGCGCCTTTGACTGGGCGGCCATGAAGGCCAAGCGCGACGCGTACGTCAAGTGGCTCAACGACATGTACGGCGAGGGCATGCTCGAAGACAAGGTCGACCTCGTCATGGGCGCTGCCAAGTTTGTCGACAACCACACGGTCGAGGTCAACGGCGACCGGTACACGGCCAAGCACATCCTCATCGCGGTCGGTGGTGTCCCGGCCATGCCTCCGCTGCCGGGCATCGAGCACGCGATTTCGAGCGACGGCTTCTTCGCACTCGAGACGCAGCCCCGCAAGGTCGCAGTCGTTGGCGCCGGCTACATTGCGGTCGAGCTCGCCGGTATCTTTAACGCGCTCAAGTCGGACACGACGCTCTTTTGCCGCGGCAACCAGGTGCTGCGCACGTTTGACCCGATCGTGCGCGACCTCGTCAACTCCGAGATGGAGCAGTACGTTTCTCTAGCTCGTCTATTGCAGAAGATTCATGATGATGACGTGATAGCGCCGGCGTTCGCTTTGTGCGCGAGAGCGGCATCACGTCGATCGA